TACAACCTTTAGCATATGTCAAGGAATCACATGGCTCTTTGGGACTCACTATGAGCCTGTAAAACACAGCACTGATTAGTTCTTAATGATCTTGGAGTCCAGGTCAGTGCCTGGAAACAGAACCTCTGGACCTGCTTCATGGTAACAGTTAAGCCATGTGATACTCTACTGTGCATCCTCAGTGGCTGGAGAAGAGAGTTCCCCCAACTGCAGACAAAATGAAGTAGGATTGGATTCTGCCCTGTACCTAGTATGCACTGGTCTTGGTGGTCTGTGGGCTTCAGATATGATCTAGCATTCTTACTTTCATCAATATAGGACAAGGAGTCTCAGACTACCACAGACATAGAGAGCAATTTGAAAGAGTGGAATACCCTATTTTAGGTATAACCTCAGTTTGGGGAATGTTGTAGGATTGAATCAGTACAAACATTCCAAGAGCTGACATGGAGCAAAATTCACCAGAGTTTTATGCTAGTGCAGACATAGCACAAGTATCCATAGTCTCACAGAAAATCACTAGACTACATAGAATTTCTAGGAGGACAAATGCAATGAAGATATGTTACTAAAATTAATCATGCACTGTGCAGATGATGTCATATACCACCAAGTAAAGGAACTTCTAGGAAAGCATGATCTCACCTAAAGAAAAACAGGATGCGAGAAAAGAAACATCTATTAGTTTAAAATTCCAAAACTCGCCCCGGTTGCCTAATGGATAAGGCAGTGGCCTCCTAAAATTCCAAAACTCTATGATAAAAATTTCAAAACAGGTATCTTAAGGAATCTGAAGTAAATTCAAAAGAAAAAAGATAAATGATTAAATAATTTAATGAAGACATTTGATAGATGAAAATAATTAAAAAGCAAGCAGAAACCTTTCAACTGGCAAGCACAGTTATAGTGCAATCAAGACATCAATAACGGGATAGCTCAAATTACATTGGTGAGCTCAACAGCAAGTTATTTGAAAATGCGTTGCAGAAGGGGAAAAGGAACCAAGAGGAAAAAAGAATGCTCACAGGAAATAGGGGAAACTATACACAGATCAAATATTAAAATTATTGGGATTTAGGAAAGTTTTGAGAATGCTAAAGAGGAAGAAAGCATAGGCAAAGGGATCGTGACGGAGACATTGTAAACTTGAAGAAAGATACAATCATCTAGATACAGATAGGCTGAAAGTTATTGGTCGGATTTAATCCACTGAAGTCTAAGCCAAACATGCTATAATCAAATTCTCTCAGTTTGAAGATAAAGGAAGAATTATGCACGCTTCAAAGGACATGAAGAAAACAAGATATAAAGGAGTCCCAATATACCTGGTTGCAGACTGCTCAAAGAAACCTTACAGGCCAAGGGAGAAGGATAAAACTTACAGTATTGAAGGAAAAAAGATGTTGTCTTCTAAGAATATTGAATTCAACAAAGCTGACCCTCAGTTCTGAGGGAGAAATAAAGATATATCCAGACTAGCAAAAGCAAGCTGTGTAAACTTACCAGCATCAGATTCTTCTTACAAGACATGAGAAAGGGAATGATTCGAACGGAAAGAAATGGATGCTAAAAAGGAAGAATATCAGAAGGTAGCAACTCAATTGTACCAACTGCTAACAGGTTCAGAATGCCTAATATTGTAAGCACAGCTTGTAAATATTTTTTCTTTAGTATGGAGATTTAAAATGTTAAAGATAGGCAATAAAAATAGTGGTGAAATCTAACATGAAAATGCAAAATATGAGGAGAAATGGAGCACAAATGTGTTTATCAAGAATATTTATCTCTGAATTTTCTTTGTGTATTTACTATTGTTTATAATCCATGTTGTTATTCCTTCAAGATAGCTTCTTATAGCCCAGATATGTTGTTTTGTAACTTCGTGGTATAACTGTAAAGCAAAAATCTATAACAGAGTTTCCAAAAAAATTATAATCAAGAGAGACAGAGAGTCAGAGAGAGGGACAGAGTAAGGGAGAGAGGGAGGGAGGATGAGTAAGAGAGAGAAAGAAAGAGAGAGGGGGAGATATTTTCCGTGCTTTGGTTCATTTACCAAATGGTTCACAAAGGGCTGCAGCAAACTAGTCTGCCAGGCTGAAGCCAGGAGCCAGAAGGGGATGTCCTGTGCTGCTTTCCCAGGCACATGAGTGAGAAGATGAGTCAGAGGTGAAGCAGCTGAGATTTGAACAAGCGCTCATGATGAATGCCAGTGTCATGAGAAGCAGCTTAACGTGCTGTGCCACAGTGTCAGACAGTTGGGATTATGGTGAATCTGTGCATTGCTAAAAAGCATATTTTAATGATACTGGTTCTTCCAACTCATAAACATGGGATGTCTTTCCATTTATTGTGTTCTCTTTAATTTATTTCACTAATAATTTATGGTATTCATCAATAAGTTTATAGTATTTTTGCTATTTACCTCTTTTGATAATTTTTACAGGTGTTTCATTTCTATTAGTTAATGAAATTTATCTGTTACTTTTCAGATGATTCACTCTGGATTTTTGTATGTTGAATTAATATCTTGCAACTTTGATATATTTGTTTATTAGTTCAAACCACTTTTTGGTGGACTCTTTCTATTTTCCTACATAAAAGGCCATGTCATCTTCAACCAGAGACAATCTGATTTCCTCTTTCTAATTTGAATGTCCTTTCTCTTTTTAAATTGTTCAACTATGATTTCCAGAACTGTGCTAAATAAAAGTGATCAGAGTAGCATTGTGCCAAACCTTAGTGAGATCTGTACAATTTTCTACACTCAGCTTAATGCCCCCCAAAAAAGCACAAGGAGATACACAATCCAGTAAAATTGGTCACCATTACAAAAGACAAAGGTATCAAGTGTTAGTGTGGATGTGGAGAAAAAGTAATCCTTGCACAATCTTGGTGGACATTTGCATTACTTAGTATAGCCATTGGATAAAAGAGTACAGAGGATCCTTAAAACTGAAAATTCTGTCTTTAAGTCAAGTGATATATCAACAAGGGAATTGAAATCCCTCTGTTGAAGAGACATCTGCACTCTGACGTTTGATACAGTACTACTCACAATAGCCAAGAATCAGAAACAAACTAAGTATGGATTCACGGATGCACGCATCCAGTAAACATGGCATCTAAATGCAAAAGTATAGTGCTCAGCCCCAAAAATGGCTTAACTGCCAGACACTACATTAAATGAAATAAGCCAAACACATAAAGACAAATATGACATAACTTCAACTCATATATGGAGTCAAAATAATAGTCTTCATTGAAGTTAAAAATAGAAGGGTGGTTATCAGAGGCTGTGGAGGCAAGGGGACGGTTAGGTAAACTGTGCCTATTGAGTACTAGGTTGTAGCTAGATAGAAAGAAGCTCTGTGAAATCCTTTTGTACCATTGCATGCATGTAAAAAGTACTAAGTATCAAATAGCCAATAAAATAGCGAGGATTAACTAGATGGAAATTTAAGGAAGAAAATTATTTAGAGAGAGGAGTACAAAATTTGGAAATTATTTAGCCACAAAGCATTTACTAACTCAGAAGAGGAGGTAAGCAGGTCTTTGCCAGATTTAAGGCTCAAAGACTAAATTATCTTGCCAAAAGTGAAGTCCCTGGATGAATTTCCCTGACTTGAATTTAGAACATGAGTCTAGGTTTCCCAAGGCTGAGCCAGAGTAACTCAGTGTTAAAACACGTTGTTCTCAATGTCAAGTAATTTAGGCTATTCAAATTGGATTTAAGGTGAATCCAGAAAGCTAGCATGTACACATATCAGTGAAGTCAGGTGAAAATTTCCTCTAGTCTGGGGGATAATAACATTATGTTGGATCAAGTTATTTCCATCATTTATTTTCATTTACACAAAGTGAATAAATTTCACGTATTTCATGATTCAGATAGATTTTAGGAGCATGGATTCCTCCCACCATTACCTCTCTTCTGCCCGCATCCCCCACCTTTTTTCTTTATCCCTCCTAATTTTGAGAAAGGTGTATTTTCATTTCCTTTGGGAATCATAGGATAAGCACACCATTAGTTAAAAATATCAATTCATAGCTAGCAGAACAACAAAAATCAAGAATCAACCTACTATTCCTCAGGAGTGCAGACAGAGTCCGTCAGCAGTAATCAAATGCCAAGATGCTAATCTCACTCATGTGGATTAATTTATTTTCTGTACTTTGGGTATTAGTGACCATAGATCAGGGAGAAGATACTTGTCTTTTGGGGATTGGCTATCTGACTAATAGAAGATTAATACACAGAATCTATAAAGAGCTCAGGGAACTCAACAATAACAAAATAAACATTAAGGACATGACAGGCTTTTTTCCTTTTTTAAAATTCTTTATTTATTTTTGTATTTTTGACAATATTTACATAGTTATTTAGGGTAAAAAGGTTCAAGGGCTATAGGAAAGTGGGTAAGACTATTATTTCCATATTGTTTCCTTCATGTTTAAAAGGTGGGTATTAGGGAATGAGCCCACCCAATATCCCATTCTCCCCAGATCCCAGATGTAGGGTATGCTCAGTGGTTCTTGTTCAAGTGGTTTTGATAGTTCACCAGTTATGAATCGCTGCCAATCTTGCCAATCCAAGCACTATGAGGTCTTTGAAGAATCCACTGATTGACATAGTCCATCATAGTCTCCGTTTGCCCTGTATTTTGCTGCCAACATATAGCTGAGGTGGTTGATTGACCTGTTCTGTCTTCTCTTTTTTCTTGGTTAAGGTTCTGAGTCCGTCTTTTCAATTGGGAATATCTCCAAAAAAACTTTGTCTGAGGTGTTCTCAGACCAGATTGTTGTATGTACTAGCAAGTACTGGGCCCAGCACAGTGCATCGCCCTGATCAGCTGGTGGTTGTGATCGCTGGATTGGTTCTGTGTTCAGCCCCGACTTCCACTGGAACCAATGGGTGTTGCAGTCCAGTCTGGTTCTGCCCAGCACAAACTTGCCCTCGCATAAACAAGTGGGAGCTGCAGCCTAGTTGAAACGACCCCACAATAACCCCCACCAGGCCTGCCCTCTACCCTGGTTTGCCAGTATGTGTAGCAGTAGTCCAATCTGTCCCCCACCCCATTCCACCCCAGCTGCTGTCCTGGTTTTCATGCCCTCCCATGGAAGTGGTAACCCAAGAGGGAGGTGCCCACTATTTCCCTCCCAGGCGTCTCCCACTCCCAGATTATGCACTCTCCATGTAGTTCTGTGGTTTGACTTGACAGAACTAGCCTCCAGTGCTAGCTTCTGCTAGTTGATGCTGTGGCTAAGCCCACACAACCCTCACTCACTCTAATTTTTTTTTTTTGCACTAGTAGGAGTAATCAGCCCAGCCTGGCTTTTCCCTGATCTAGTCCACCTGAGGCGTACAGGTGTTGTAGCCCTGCTTAGTCATGACAGGCCTTTTTCAAAGGATGAAATTCAAAAGGCCAACAGGCATGGGAAAAAAGGCTTGAGTTCACTTGCTTTTGGGGAAATGCAAATAAAGACCACAATGAGGTTTCACCTCAACCCAATCAGAATGGTGTCATTTAGAAATCAGGAAACTATAAATTCTGGGGGAGAATATACCTGACTCCACTGTTGTGACAAGGTAAACTAGTGTAACTATTATGGAAGACAAATATTGACAAATAAGAAAAACATATAGGTATGCCCTAGATCACAAATAGCAGGCTCATATGGAGAAAAGAGATTTACTGGACATGGATATAGAAAATGAACTTGTAAAACATTCTCCAAGAATAAGAATAATTGTACAATTGTGTAAAAGCGAAAAGATCTAAAAATTGAAACTTGAGAGATGTGAATAAAAGATAAAATGGAGATGAAAAGGCAATTAACGAATAGAAAGAAGATAGATAAAAAGAAACCATCAGGAATGAAACTAAAGAGAAAATACAGAAAGTACAAAGTGAAAAGAAAGAGACCCAGAAAATATGGCAAAAGGTTTTAATATTTATTTATTTGGAAATTCAGGAAACATGAAATAATACAAATGTACAAATGCACAAAATACATTGGGAGACAGAATAATTTTCTAAAAATTTTGAAAATTATCAAATAACATTTACATAGTCCATGAATTTCAGATAAAATTTTGAATGCTAATTGGGAAAAGAATAGTAGAAATTAGTGGATAAGGTTAAATTCAATTGAAGATTCTTGTGAAATGTGGTTTCTTTTCAAGTACAATCTATGAAAATATACCGGGAAAATATCCCTTGTTAAATATGTTAATAAAGTCAATTTTAAAGAAATATATTTAAAAAAAGAAAAAAAGAAATATATTTATAAATGGGTGGTATGCTGTATCAAGGGTGAGGCCAGATCCAAATCCTTGGAGGAAGGGGCTGCCAACCCTTGGGACCCTGTCTCTCAGATTACTGCACATACTAAACATGCTGACTGTGCACAGCAAGCCCTTAGATGTCTAAGCTATCGAGGTGGAAGGAGTTTCCCTCTGTTTCTCTGATCAAGGAGAGAGGATGTTCTGAGCCCTGTTCCCAGAATAGATACCTGGTTGAATATGCTCACTCAAGGTACCTTTTTATCAGCTTAGACATCTGGCTCCCCCTAAACACTTCTCTATGTTCATTATTGTATGAAAAATCAAACAAAAGCAATTTTAAAAGCCCAAGTTATTTAACCTAAAGCCAGTGTGCAATTGGACACTCCACTTCCCTGCATCTTAGTGGGGTCAGTCCTTTCCCATCGCTATTCTTCAAATAAAGTTTCTGTTAGTATTTTACTTGCTTCCAAACTTTTTATTTCAATAAAAAAAGTGCAAAAAACCTACAGAGCTTTGCTGGCAACATATACGTTCTCATGATGTGGTATATTTTCTTTGTGAGTCAGTTTTGTTTGAACAAATAATGAGAGAAAAGTAATCCCAGCTAAATTTCAATTGGGTGATTTAAAATTAACATGTTCTAAATTGTTCTAAAAATTTATTTTTATTGGAAAGACATATTTATAGAGAAAGGAGAGACAGAGAGAAAGATCTTCCATCTGCTGTTTCACTTCCCAAGTAGCCAGAATGGCAAGAGCTGAGCTGATCCTCAGCCAGCCAGGAGCCTATTCTGAGTTTCCTATGTGGTTGTAGGGCTCCAAGGGCCTGGGCCATCCTACACTACTTTCCCTACCCACAAGCAGGGAGCTGTATAGGAAGTGGAAATAGCCAGGACAAGAACCAGCACCCATATGGGAAGCCAGCACTTACAGGTGGAGCATTAGCAAATTGAGCCATTGCAATGATCTCAAAATGTTCCAAAAGTAAATACATGTATTTCACTGTAGTGGGAAGGAGTCATCATCGTCTTGTAGATTGCAAATTTCATATAATTCTGTTTACACATATTTTAATGTGGTAGTAAATCAAGGAAAGCAACTCTCAAATCTAGGCTTTTTGCCTTTTTTATTTTTTTTTGTTATTTTATTCTTTGATGGCTATAAGGACAGACTGAATGATGTAAAACAGCTTAGAAAAAAAAGTCTTCACTCTTCTCCTATCTTCTCTCGGAAGTTTTAATTAAGAGTGACTGTGGTTGGCATCTCAGATATTGCCATATGTGAGGAGCGCATATGTAAATGACAAGATTCCCCATATCCCAATTTACTGCTTCTGACTTTGAGACACAGTGTCGTAAAATCCCAGGGTGACACTGAGATGAAGTTTCCAATTACAGAGTGCAATTGTCTTTCCTGAGCTGCAGACATTAGAGGTTAACCTTACAAATTTCCCACTAGAGGCTTAACTAGGAATCAAGTGATGAAAGGAAATAAAAGAAATCTTGCCTGATTTTCATGAAATAACCTCCTGCCTGGCGCAGGCCCATATGACACTTCAGATTGAGCCTCTCTGAGACCTGGGGAATGAAAGGGAATGATTTTTCACAGGAAGACCACAGTCCTCTCGAGACAAGCTGGGGAGCATTCAGGACAGAAGGAAGCCAAGGGCTGGGGAGTCCTGCTACGACCCAACACTGATGTCATCGAACCACAGCCAAACCCCTTCTCCACCACCACGTATTAAGAAAGAAATTTGCGTGTGGAATGAAAGTTTAAAAAACACGTTTCCTTTTCTGGTGATATTGTTAAGGGAGAGTTAATCTCATTTCTACCACAAGAAAGAACGAAAAAGCATGGATTTTGAGATAGGAATTTGCAGGAAATTAGGACCAAGAAAGAAAGAAGAAAAATAAATAAAAATGAAAACAGATGGATATAAAAATTAAAAAGAGAAAGAAAATACTCACTGAATATTAGATTTGTATCTGACAATTTCATACGCTTGGATCAAAATATAACAGAAAATTAAAGGAAAAAAATCCTATACTATACTCTGAAAAATTGAACTTTTCTTTGCCTCTTTTCTGTTTCTTTAAAACATACTCTTTTTTTTTAACTGCACTATGAAATCAGGTCTTGGGGTTTGAAATCAGCATTGGGGGGTTTGGCCTATATAAATTCCATCATTTGATCTTAATGTTCAGAATCTTAGGTAACAATGTGAAATTTTGCTCAATTGTCCCAAAGCTATTCTAAGTGACTGTCTTTATATGCCTAGGGTGATTAATCACAACAGAAGGATCTTATCCTTAAGCAAGGATCCTGTGATGATCCGGGAGAGGAGTCTAGAAAGTGTGGCTACACCTTTTTGGTGTACCATTCTAACACTGTTATTCCAAGCGTCATTGAAGGGCTCTATATTTTCTTGCCCTCACATTGTGCCTTCTTGCCTTCTGAACCAAGGAAGGCATCTTTTCCTGTTCATGAAGCTCCAGAATGCATGAGAATCAGTGAATAAGGCTGGCAAGTGGAGGACATTCTCCACCAGGTAGTTTGTGAAAGGATAGTTGAAAAGGGGAGCGATCACATCTTGAAATCAAGAGAGAAGTGCAGTGATCTGGAGTAATTCCATTCCAATCCCTGCGTAATTCACAGAAACTTGAGTTAGGAATCCGTGTGACTATCTGGGGGTGGGGGAGTGGGGGGTGGAAGCACATTCCAGGCCAAAGGAGGGAAACAAGCAAAGACCCTAAGTCATGTGGTTGCTTGGTGGGTTTTGAGACTAGAAATCGTGTGCCAATAGAACACAGCGCTCAAGAGCAAGGGTAACTGATCTGAACTCACAGAAGCAGTGGACCTTAATTGTGGTCTTTTTAGGTTTTAGAAGGATTTGAGTTTTTACGTGAGGTGGTGAACCTTGGAAGAATTTCAAGAACAAGAGAAGCATAATATGACTTTTGTCTCAATATTTTACATTTAAGTCATCAGATTCTTTATATTCAGACAAAGTGAAAAGCCACCTGCATTGCCCGTAAGCACTCTGCTGGTGCCCCGGGCCTCTGGGTGTGCAGCTACTGTTGCTGAAGAGCACAGTCAGAAGCAATAAATGCAGGAGCTGCTGACTTTCTATTTCCTGTCACTTGGGTGACTGCTCCTAAAACACATCATAGAAAGCTGAGTGCATGGCTTTGTGCAGTATTGACCACTTCATTTTCCGTATTTTACCTTTGTGCCTGAGTTCACTGACTTTTTCAAGGTTTTAAGTTAATGGAATTTGATTTTTTAAAAGGACCATGACTGGGTTCTTAATGTCTTTCCTGGTGCCAATGATTTGCAAAGGATTTTCTAATTACATTACTTTCCCTTGAAATTGCACATTCATTTCACACTTCTACTCTGCAGAGGGATACACTGTAAGCTTGTCTACATACTGACAATATCTAATTAGAAGAAAACCTAGAAAATTGCTGTTCTGCCTGTATGTTAATAAACGTATCATATTTTTATTCCCCCATCATTCTCTTCTTAAGCATTACTTGTCCATTCGACTGTAAGGAAATACAAATTAAAAATTAACTTCTGAATATTTCCCTCTAATGAAGTTGAATAGAAGTGATCTAATTGGCTTTCACTTTGTGAAATTGCGTATAGGAACATACCAGTAGTGGCATTATTACTACAAACACCTACGAATTTCAATTCAGATAGCATACACTTTGTTGACCTCAGGAGACTTGGATTTCATTTTAGGAAACAAAACTAGTCCAATTTCATACATTACTCAGGAAGATTACTTCAGGTATCTTGTGCTTTATAATCTTATATGAGGATTTAGTAGCAGTTTGTATTAAGCATAATTAAATTAATTCTGATGAACTAGTCTCACATTAACTGGCATCAATTTTTATCATCAGGATTTTGGCTTTTTAAGTTACAGTGTTATTTTTCAGATTAAAAAAATTTGTTTTAGATATAATATAAGACAGTAACCATGATTGCAAAAAGCAGATAAGATTTAAATTATAACTATTAGTGACATGGAAAACTAAAAAATGGAGTACTCAAATACGTTCTTTTTAGTTATTTGTAACTTTTGGACCATGCATAAGAGTTATTACAAAGTGAAGCCAACTGTAACAGTGTTTTTATTATGAGTTTATTTACTTATCAAGGTTTATCAAATACAATATTTCATGTGTCATGTAAATGTTTATTCTCAATGTCTGCCATTTTCCTCTGAATTAAGAAATACGAGGGTACCTCAAAAAGTTAATGAAATTGCATTTTATGAAAAGCCATGTACAGATTTCAAAATTTATTTTGCAGTGCAATAATCTGATGTTTTAATGCCATTTCCCCCCAGATTTCTGATTTCTTTTATTTTTGTTAAGATTTGCTTATTTTATTTGAAACAGAGATACAGAGAGAGAGAAATGGAGACTGTCGGTCTACTGGTTCACTTGCCAAATGGTTGCAATGGCTGGGGCTGAGTTGGGGGCAAAGCTGGTAGGGAGGATGTGGTGGGCTTCTCCGCTGGAACACCACTCCCACTGGCGAACATGAGTTGGTATGCGGGCAGAGCAGACTGGTCACGGCTACAACACCTGTGGGCCTCACGTGAGCTAGATCAGGGAAACGCCAGGCTTAGTTGACTTTCCCTAATGGTGCAAGCATAAACCAGAGTGGGTGAGGGTTGGTTGGGCTTTGCTGCAGGATCAACTGGCAGAAGCTGGCACTGGGGGCTAAAGTTAGACTGCAGAACCACCTGGAAAGTGCATGTTCTAGGAGTGGGAGTAGAGCCAGTAGGGGAAATGGTGGGCACCTCCCTCTTGGGTTACCACTCCCACTGGAAAGCATGAAAACCAGGACTGGGGCAGCAGTGGCTGGGCAGGTGTGGGCTGGATAGTGAGCATGGTTGGGTTGAACTAGGCTTCAGTGCCCATCAACATGTATGAGAGCCAAATGGGATGTGGAACAGATTGCACCAGTCTGTCATACATACTGGAAAGCACAGGAACCAGGGCAGGGGGTGGGCCTGGTGAGGGTTATTGCAGGTCACTCCAACTATGGTGCAGCTCCCACTAGTTTGTGTAAGAGCCAAGTGTGTGCTAGGCAGAATCAGGCTGTACTACAACACCTGTTGGCTCGTATGGAAGACAGGGCTGGAAACAGAATGGACACAGCAATTGTAGCTAACAAAGTGCACTTGGGCAGATTTGGGCAATGGACTGTGCTGGACTCTCTACTGGCAAGCACTCACGAGAATCATGTCTGGGATCACCTCAGATGAAGTTTTTTTGGGGATGCCTTCAGCTGACCTGCTGATCTCAGAATACCAAAAATGAAGGTTCCATGATCTGACCATGGAGTGCGTATGTTAAAGCTAAGCCTCCTCAGAGGCTCAGACAGAGCAGTGGACAGCATATCCAGGTGCACATAAAGGATATGAGGATATGGCAGTCCATTGGAACCTGCAGAGGATACCTGGTATCACAACAGAGAACAGGGGACAGAACAAATTGATATCTCCCCCAGCAATGTGTTGACAGTGAAAATCTGGGCTAACGAAGACTCTAAGGTAGACGATGTCAGCCAGTGGATTCTGGAGAGATTTCACTGTACTTGGAAGAGGCAATATTGGCAGCAATTCAGAACTGTTGAACTATCAAAAGCACTTGAGCAGTGTGCTTGGAGCATGATCCATGTCGGGACCCTGGGATGGGTAGGAGGCTGGGTGGTGCTTCTCCCTTTAACTCTCCCTTTACCCCAGATACAGAAAAAAAAAAATAATAATGTGGAAACAATGGTCTTACTCACTTTCCTGTAGCCCTTGACCCTTGATGCCTTAATCAACTATGTAAAGATTATCAAAACAAAATAATAATTAAAAAAACCTATATACTTGATATTATGTCAACACATTCGTATACTACTAGAAAGTTGACAAGTACATGATCCTAAAATTTGATAGAGTGGAAATTGAAGCAAGTGGTTATAGAACAGAGATGGATTTGGAATTTCTGCATTGACACTTTGGGGAGGTATTTCAGTGAATGACTTGTAAGTATTAATAGAAACTATACATCAGTAAATGTTAGTCTCTGTAAGCCTCCTCTTCTGATTTGTTAGTGACTTAAAGGAGATATGAAATATTATTATAAAATTTCATTATGTAAATGCCTAGGTAGGATCACTATATTTTGTGTTAAAATTTAAGGGAATTTATCCCTAAGTATTCCAGTGATTTGTTTTCCGTAAAGCTCTTTCACTGGCTATTTTTTCTTCTAATCAATTTTATATTGATTTTTTCCAGCTTGACTGAAACAATCATAAAATAATGCATTGTGTATATTATTTTAACTAGTACTAGACAACAGGCATATTTAAAATTTTTTGTTCGAATCATGAACATGTCATGTAAATGATTGTATAGACTACCAATGTGTACCTGTCAGTCTGAGATGCACTGACTTTGATTTAACACCTGGGAAACATGGTCTAATTAGTCTTCCTCTCATCTTTTTGATGTAAGTCAATAAAGAGACATGCCTCTGAATTCTAAAAGAAATAACTACTTTTAGTTATCCAGAAGGGTGTGGAGCTCACTCAGTTCAGTCAATGTTCTCAAGGGTCAGGGTCGTGCAATCGAGAGCTCTTCGAGGATGATAGAAAGGTAGGAGATGATAGGACAATTGAAAAGACATGTGTGCCTGTTCAAAATGACTTCTCAAATGAAAAGTAATGAAGACTAGTCTTGGTAATGCTTCAAATGAAAACCTGATAGTGATTTTGTTTTTTGTATGGCACTTTGGTCTAACAGTATGACATAGAAAAAGAGGGATTTTGTCCTTACTCATATGTGCCGCTGTCATAGTGACCAAGAGAAGATATTATAATTTGTGGTGTATGTGAAATGACTTTATTAGATCACAAAAACTGTGCTTTAAGATTTGAAGTTGTGGCTGTATGAAAAGAAGAAATGATCAGGGCTGTTTCTTACGTGGGTAAGAGTCAAGGGGGTGGAAACAGTGTGAGGAACAATTTTGAATTCTGCGAAGAAATGTTTCTGAAAGTTCTAGCTATATCCTGGGGCTGTTCCATTAGAGGTCTAGTTCTGATTCTCTTTCAAAAAGCAGCAGAAACACTCTTTAAACCAAGAAATGAATTGAGCTTGATAATCTGTGAATTTCTCTCTTTAAGAATCTAAGAAATTTGTTAGATATGGTTAATTTTTTTTCACTTAAATTAATATATCAAATAGATTGTACTAGACATTTCCAAGGACACATTTCTAAAACAAGTTTAATTCAGAGTTCGGAAGTTTTTAATGATATTCTAATAACTCCAAATTGGTCATAAATTTTTCTGAAAGTCTCATGTTAGAAAACAACTTTTGACATAGAATTTCTGTTCTGTAGAGAGTTTTGTTCTCATAACTAAGCATTGAGAGACCCAAGCCATTCATCATACTTGGTAAGGACTTTCTTGGGATGGAAAATACAACTGTGTTGGTAACTTTAGAAAATGTGACTGAATAAAAAAATAATGTCCAGTATACAAGCTGTTCTCAGTATTTTTCTACAATCCCTGATAAAGCAAGAATGCATATTTTTAAAGCACAGTTTTGAAATATTGAATGTTTCTTAATAATTAAGAAAGTATAATGTGTTAGTGCTAAACATGTTGAATATAATTGGTACTAGATAGGATAATGTTTAAGTGAATAAGTAGAATATTAGTTTATTTTTTAAATCTAGAGCAGAATACCTGAAGCTGAGCAAATTTATAAAGAACAGTTATTTTTAGCTCACGGTTTTGGTGGCTCAAGCCCAAACCTGGGTTAACTCATTGGTTTGGTCTCTGGTAGAAGACTTACAGCATGAGGCATCATGGCGAGACACAAATGAAGGAGAGACCACATTGATAAACAGGCATGTAAAGGAGCAGTTCAGAGTTTGGGGTCATAACCATTCAAGATTATGGAGCACCGAGGTCTTTAGCATTACCGTAATTCCACTGGGGACTTAGAATGCCTTATTAGATTTGACCTTAGCACCTCTGCATCTCCATAATTAAGATCAAAATTTCAACACATGCAGCTTTGGAAGACAAAACACATCCAAATCACAGCAGTAGCATGCAGTAAACAGTGTCTAACTAGGTATTTCCACTTTCCCTAGGAAATAGTTACTGATGGTCATTCATAATCATGCTATGACCATGATGTCTGGAATATTTTGATCCTTTCTAATACAACTGAGACACTTGGGGGATGAGTTTGAAAACAGTGGTGAAGTTATTGCTACCCTAAGAAACTGTAGAACAGGCTCTTAGTGAGAATAGAGGATTGTATAATCCGTTGCACGTCATGTGATTCTGCACCCATTATTGCTGGGTCACAGTGCCAGGAAAGACTTATTTTATATTGCTGAAGTGTATTTTCGATGATAGCTTTATTTAAAGCATATTTAAAAGCAATTTAAGTAAAGTGCATGGCAAATGGGGAGTTATCAATATAAGGACAATTCTTATATTTCCAGTAAAGATTTTGTTTTATCACAAATCTCAGATGAAGTAGCATATACTGTTTTATGGAAATATGCTCCAGCAGGTGAAAAAGACAGTGGTGATAAAATCATGTACTTCTATGTCTGTAGGAATACCCAATCAAAATCACTAAGATATCCCTTCTTTTTCTGAAAGTTATCATATTTCTGAGAATGAGATTATAATTAGAAGTTTCCTGAGTACTGTTAGATAAAAGTAGCAATATTATTTAAATCATTAAATTATCCTACAGTATACACTTAGAACTCTATTAATAATGTGTGTACAGCTTTTTATAATATGGATAGTCTTTCTTGGTTAAAAAGGGAGGGTATTTATAATTTGTGACCCAGTATTCTCATGGGACTAAGAGTCATTTGGACATGAAGGTAACCCTCAAAGAGAATTCCATTTTACATGTACACGTTCAAGGATGAGATGTGAGCAAGATTTTCTCCAGCAAGACCAGAGCATATGTAAATGATTATATATGCTTGGTGCTACTCATTTCCCCTTGCTGAATCTTCTCTCTGGATCTGAAGCTTGGCACTCCTAGTTTATTAAGGAGTTCTTTGGCATTCCCCAGATAAGTTTCTGTGATACACTATCCTCTGAGAACTCAAAATTATAACGATTACAGCTCTTATAACTGCTCAGCACCAAACAATGGCAAAAGCTTGTGAAATTGCCAGTCTCTCCTAAACATATGTATTTTTGTAGTACAAAAAGAAATAATTTAGTTGTTTCACTCAACTCTCAGTACCCCAAACCTAATATTGTTCACATATCAGTCTATAACTATCATGGCTGACATGGCTTGATCACATTAGTTCCCATAAACTTTAATTGGCTCCTATTTGGAGTATTGTTCTAAATGCTTTTTATCAATGACACTGTTGTAGAAGCTCTATTTTATTTTAAATTTAACATTAATTTTTACTATGTTATTTAATATCCTTTAATTTTGATTTTGGATGAAGCTATGGTTCATCTGTCAAAAATCAATGGCAATTTGATAAAAATAAATGAAAGCAGTATTTCACTATGTTTTTTTTTTTCCAGGTGTAAGGATCAAATTCATACTAAGCATCTGACTACAAAGCTTTTTCAAAGAATATAGTTAATGCATAAAGAAATTGTTCTTTTGACACCAGAACAGAGACTG